GTGGGTGCCCCCACCCTCTGGAACGAACTGCCCCCCGAGATCCGGATGATTCCGGATCTCCTTACTTTCCGCCGCGCCCTCAAGACATGGCTTTTCCAGCAAGCGGGCCTGACCTAGGGAGGATTTTAGGTAGGGATGATTTTAGAAGTAATTTTAATTGGAAACACAGCCGTCAATATTTGGTTTTTAATTCGGTTTTTATTGGGGTTTATATTGTTGTATTTTTGTATTTTTGGTATTTGTGTATAGTATCTGTTTTTTAAATATGCTGTGAACCGCCCTGAGTCCTATGGGAGAAGGGCGGTATATAAATTAAATTTGAATTGAATTGAATTGAATTGAATCTGCCCTCATTAACCTGAATTTCTAGTTCACCCTGTTTGCTGTTCATACTCTGTGCATTTGGGTATAGACATTTGAGTCCTTTATGACTCACAAGAGGTCCAGCATCCTGCAATTACTAAGAGCAATGAGGGCTTAGGAGAGAAAAAAACATTTTTTCAGTTTTTGTGTAAAGACAGGAAAAAGTTAGTTGGTTTTCAAAGCAAAATGGCCTTATGTTAATTCACAAGACATTGCTAACTTCTTTGTTTGACATACCACCATAGTCTCAAAGGTGTTGAGAATGTACAAAATAGAAAAAGAAAAAAACAACAAAAATTATAAAATATATAGAATAAATATATATAATAAAACAAAATACAAAAAATAAAATAAATTAAAATACAATACAATACAAGCAAATTCAAACAACATAAAATGAATAAAAATAAATATATCATCTACAAGTGGGATATTAATAAAAAGAATTATTAAAAATTGTGCTGTAAATGAATTAAAAATTACTGTAATGCTAAAGAACCTTCTAGAAATCATTAAGAAGTTCAATGGCACATTATATCTTATTGGCATTTGATTCCAGTCACATAGGCATAGCTATCTGTGACACAACTGGGACTGATGGAGAAACTCAACACACAAATGGCATATCATCTTGCTCAGCTTCTGTTCTTCCCATTTAGACACTTACAGGCATCAGTATAGGGCACTTTCACTGGCAGCTTTTCCCTTACAGCATATGAAGTGGTATAGAATTGCCATCATCAACTTATTAATTGTATTTCACCTCAAATATTAGATTATATCTCCTGGACGGGTCACATAAATGTAAAAGAATGGGCCACCTCTTATCTCCCACTACAGCAGACCAGAATAATACACGACAGTAGGAGCAAAACCACCATTAAAAAGTCCTTCCCATTTCAGAAGTGATCCAAGAAGATACCATGGTTGATGGTATCAATAGGTTCAAAAGGAAGAGGAATGGGACATTTCCCATTCAAGTCCTCATGTAAGTTATCCAGAAGAATGACCAAAGCTATCTCAGTGTGATACCTGAGCTGATAACTGTCTGAAAAGGATCTACACAATCAGCTTCTTCAGGCCACTATCATGAACTCAACAAGTTTTCCCAAAAAGGGAAGGATAGAAACTGACTGGCAGTTATCTGACTGCAGAATTCAGAAATAGCTTCTTCAGATGGGGATGCACCACAAGTTCTTTCAGAGAAATAAGTAGCTCCTTTGTTCATTCAGAAGCCTTCTACAACCTCATGGTCCAGATGGTCATTTTTTCACCTGGTCCTTGCAGAAGTTATAGCAAAGGTTCAAACTACATGCGGTAGAGGAAAATCTAAAAAGGGTGTTATCCAATCTAAAATAAGCCCCAAATATGGCAAGACAGTGTTCCAATTGCTGCCCAAGACTTTGCCCATGAGGAGTGAAGATTTTGGCTCATGTTAACAATGATTTTCAGTGAACCAAGCCTCTTGCCAAAGAGACTTCCAGAAACCAATAAAGTTGATTAGGTACCTGGGGCAGATTATTTGAACTGACTCTGCCATTCCACAGAGGTATAAATAGTTCTCAACCACAAATAGATCAGGGCAACAGAGTTGTGGAAATCTCCAACATTCACAGATCACACATCTGCTCTGAGATACAGATAAGGTTTAGCATATAGCAATCTAAATGTTTTAGGCCTAAGGTTACCTGCAAAACGTTCATGATTTTCATGAAGCCCATGAACTCTCAGACTTTATTGTAATTTGACCCCAGAGCATGGAACTGAACTTCTACAGCATGAACAGCTACAGGGTAGATAAATTTCAGAAATGGTTTGCCATTGTCTGCTTACTAGGTCTAAGAGAGATGGACCAAAAGTCACCAAGTTGGTTTTGTGCCTAAAGTGAGATTAGAACTCAGAGTCTCACCGTTTTTGGTGTTATACCTTTACTATGCACCAAACAGGCTTTCAACCTACATCTTGGATATAGAAACATATATAAATACACATACATACTCAGAAACAAACAGACAAACAAACAAACAATAAATATGCATCTCTGTGTGTGTACAAATACACACATACACACCCTTTATGTGGTGTGGGCAATGGTGGACATACCACAGTATGCCTATGTAATACCTCTGGTTTACAAACCTTTTTGGTTACCAGTTTCATTCCAGATGTGATTCAAGGTGGTAAAATTGATCTGCTATTAGAAAGAAAATAAAAGGAAAGAAGAAATACTATAGAGCAACTTCCTGATTTACATTATTGGAGACATCTTGATGCACCTCTCTGTTCCATGTCATTTTGTTTCATTTCATTCTTTCTTCTTTCTTTTTGTTTTAAAAGTACAATCTCTTATCTTTTTATGACTTGAAAGATTTGCATGTGGGATCAAAATGTAGGCATAGATTTTATTTTGAATTTTTGGATTTGTTTTTAGCAAGTAGTTTTTTTTAACTTATTACTGTTGGTATAAAAAAAAAATCTACTGCATATTCAACATATTCACTGGAATGTTTTTTTATATCAAAAAGCAGTAAAATATCTGAAAAGCTTTTTTAAAGTGTATATTCAACTGAACACAATTAAAATAAGTGTACAAGAATTGCCATGTAATTTTCCATATAATTCATAAGGAAATAATTATGGAGAATTCCTAAGAGGTTACCTCTTGATTATATTATATTAGTTATATTAGATTATGTCAATGAGTATTTCAACTTTCCCAAAGTAACAGGAACTATTAATTATCTTTATGCTATTCTATGCAAATGTTATTTTGTTTTCTTAGCTGATCTTTGTTGTTCATATCAGGCCTCAAAACTATAATATAGCATTTGGGAAAAAATATGCAAATCAGTAACCCAGCACTAGAGACTATAATGGAGAAGATCTCCACAGCAACCATATATTTTCCTTTTGTGCTCAGATATGTTGGAACAAAAGATAACCACACACTGCAGAAGACCAACATACTGAAAGTGATAAATTTGGCTTCATTGAAGACATCAGGCAATTTCCTTGCTAGGAAAGCCACTGTGAAACTGACAAAAGCAAGGAAGCCCAAAAAGCCCAAGACACAGTAGAAAAAGGAGTTGGATCCCTCATTACACACCAGAACTATTTCTTGTGCCACTGAATTCATGTCAGCATCTGGGAATGGGGGACAACTTGTCAGCCATGTAGCACAAAGAATTTCTTGAATAAATGAGCAGCCTAGCACAATGAAAATGGCTAATTTTTTCCCTACCCATTTTGTCATCATGGACCCTGGTTTGGTGGCTATGAAAGCTATAACCACAATGATGGTTTTGGCCAAAATACAAGAAATGGCCACTGAGAAGATAATGCCAAAGGCTGTTTGGCGAAGAACACATGTCACTTTGTTGGGTTGTCCAATGAATAGCAAAACACAAAGAAATGATAACAGAAGAACCACAAGGAAAGCATATGTGAGATCCCTGTTGTTGGCTTTGACAATGGGAGTGTTCTGATGTTTAATAAAGATACAGAAGACACCAACTGTAACCAAAGAAAAGAAAAGAGCTGAACTAGTGAAAATGGTTCCCAAGGTTTCTTCATACTTCAAGAATGTTATAACTTTGGGGAGACACATATCCTGCTTGTCACTGGGGTATTGGTCTTCTGCACACTGAAAACAGTCATCTATGTCTAGAAAATAAAATAGAACTCCATAAATTACATAAAATAATCAGAATTTAACAATACAATGTCCAAAAAAAAGTTGTTTAATATCTGAAAATCAAATGTGTTGGTATAGTTGCCATAACTTCAGCATTGCAAAATTATTTGTTTGGGGATGTACTACCCATATTTTCCCAAAAATAAGACCAAAAAAGGCATCAGGTCTTATTTTTGAGGGATGTCTTTTATACTCACCTCCGGCACCAACAGCCCTGCCCAGCCAGTCTACTTCTTCTGTGGCCGAAGGAGTAGCTACATTCTGCAACTGCATTCTGGCCTGCATTTTGCAGTCAGGACTGCATTTTGGATTCAACCCATAGCTCAGTCCTCGGCTGCAGAAATCTTGCAGAACAGAGCTATGGATTCAATCCATGGCTTAGATCTTGGCTGCACAGGCCTTCCAGAAAGGCCTCCGACTGAGAAATGCAGAAGACATCTGCAGAAGACACCTCAGAAGAAGTGGGCTGGCGAGAAGAGGCCTGGCGGCAAGGTAAGTGGGTGTGGGGCATGTGGGGCAGCTCCACCCTTCCACCCCCACCCTAGCTTGATTTTTAGGTGTGTCGCCTTAAAATTAGGGCTTATTTTTGGGGTAGGGCTTATATTAGGCCTATCCCCAAAAATCAAGCTAGGGCTTATGTTCGGGGTAGGCCTTACTTTCGGGGAAACACGGTACTTATAAACAAAATCTAGGCAATTTATTTATTTGTATCCATGTTTCATTGGATCAGTTTGCTAAGTTGACTACTTAATCTTCTGCAGAGTTTTCTAAACACAGATTGATTTAAATATATTTTAAGTGAAGAAATTGTATCTTACCCTCCTGGTTGGAGATTTTGCCTTGTGGACATTTATGACAATTATAGCAGCAAAATGGCTTCCCTTCAATCTTGCTCTTACTGTAACCTAAATGGCACTTCCCATTACACAGAGAAAGTGGCTGGATCTGCTCATAAAAGAAAGAATAGAATGGTTTGCTTTGGAGAAGTTTGTATCTGGTATCAATATATTAGGGACTGTTTATCCAGTCTCCTTCCCTACCACACATGTGTTGTTTCAGTAATAGATGATGGGGAAAGATGTTATCAAAAAGTGATTTCAGCAGGAGAGTGACTTGTATTAGCTCTTCAATAAACTTAGACATTTAATGCCCAATAATGCAATTTTTATGAGGAAAAAAATAGATTTTTTTTTGTAACAGTTGTAAAAATCTAAAGTCACTTCTCTATAACTTTTTCTCTTTTTTTCTATTTTTAACCTTTTCACTTCACATTACTCTTATGCTTTTCTTTAATCCTATTTTTATATTATTTTATCTTTTATTTCTGAATATTTTAATAAAATCATGTAGATTTAAAAAAAATAATTCTAATTTCCATTGGTGGCATTGGGCAGTTATTCTTTTCACTACAAACTGGCTGAAGCTTTTTCTTCCTTCTTTGATATTTTCTGTGAAGACCACTTTTTGGACAGTCAGTTCTAATATAACATTTGGCAAACTTGTTTTAATAGGAGACAGCTTGTGTCTGTGGAGCAAGAAGCAGGAAAAAACAAGGACAAAGCAGAAATATTGATGGATACTTGCAGGGGGTGGTAAATGTTTTTGTCTCAAAGGTGGATTGATCAAAGTATTAACAGCCCCCCTCCCCCCGGTACAAAGTCAGATTGCCAAGGTGTTTATTGACACATCTTTTCTTTTGCATGTTGATGTGGCTTTCTCCATTTTTAACTTTTCCCTTTCATTTTGAGTTCTAAGGAAAAAAAACTATGTTGTTTCTTCATAACTCTCCTCTCTTCATATTTATTCATCCTAGTATACCCTCATTGGATCTTTAATTGAAATGGTTAGCTAAGCCAATCTCCAGGGGCAAATGTAATATTCTGTTGCTGAATGTCAATCTGGCTTCCAAAGTAGTTTTCAAAACAGTGAAATGATGACCAAACCCAGGCCAAAAGATGAATCAAGGATACCTGATTAAAGTTATGTGGCCATACAATAGCATCATCAATGATTAGCATTTCCTCTTGGGAACTGAGCGGATCTGTCCTTCCAACTCTGATTCTCAGGAAAGACAGATTTGAAAAGGTGATCCAGTTCATAATGTCAAATCCAGTTTCTAACTCTCCATTTTGGTTGAAAAAAACTTTTTCCCCAGCACTGTTGTTAAATGAGACACTTCTTACAAAATGGTTGAGCTGAATTGGAAAAGAAGAAAAGTCAAGCATTATTTATCAGAAAGAAGAATATTATTCCTTTTCTTGGAAGTGCATAAATAATAAACTTTTCAAAAGTTTTATATAGGACAGTTGGTGATAATACTATTAATTAATAAATACATAGCATTGCCCAATAGACCATTATATGATTATAATGCATCCAGTAAACAAAATATGGAACAAAATATTTAAAGGAAAGACAGATAAATAATAGAAAGTAGATAATAAAATTTATAAATTATAATCTATTATTAAAAGCGGGGCTTTTTTCTCATAGAATGCCCAGAATGGAGTTTTGTGGATGGAACCTTGTAGGGTAGGCAAGGCAGGTTGTATGACATGTGTGAGTTCCGGCACCTTTTTTTTTTTTTTTTTTTTAGAAAAAAGCACTGATTAAAAGGATAAAGATATTGAGCAAGGCAATTCTATGATGGTGAAGTGATAGAAGTTGCAAAAAATGGTAGTGTTATTCTGATTACAAAAATACATTTTTCATATTAGCTTCTCAAGAGAAACTCAGTTGTGATTACTCAGCAAAATGAACAACTCTATGCATAGGAACAGCTCTATGCATAGGAACTACAGCACATTACCTATTACTAGTTTGTGATTCCTGCTTTCTCCATTTAAAAATAATCCCTAGAAAATAAGAGCCTAATAACTGATCATATTTTTTTTAAAAAAAAATCAAGGCATTTCTTTCAGCCTCATGAACTTGTGAAGAATAATCTTTCACTTTTGTGCTATAGGAGTTTCTATTCCTACACCTTTAAAGTGACCAACATAA